GAACGGCGATTTTTGACCATACTGCGACTGAGAGTAAGACGGGGATCGCGAGCAGGGCTCTAAGGCCGTTGCTGGGCATCGTGGATCCCTTGAACACGGAAACTTGTCCAACGGCGGTTCACGTTAGTGCCGGATTGGATGTGCTTTTCCACGCCTTGGAGTCGTACACGGCGATTCCATATACAGAGAGGATGCCGCGCCCTGCCAACCCGATCCAGAGGCCTGCATACCAGGGTAGGAACCCGATTAGCGATGTTTTCTCACTCTGGGCGCTCAAGCAGACTGTCAAGTATCTCCCCAGGGTCGCGAAAGACCGCACGGATGCCGAAGCTCGAGGCCAAATGCTTCTCGCAGCCACCTTCGCAGGCATCGGCTTCGGCAACGCAGGTGTCCATCTTTGCCATGGTATGTCCTACCCCATCTCCGGCCTGAACAAGAAGTTCGGTAAATACCAACACCCGGGCTACCAAGTCAACCATCCTATCGTACCCCACGGCGTCTCGGTTGCGCTGACTGGGCCAGCTGTGTTCGAGTTCACCGCTCCCAGTGCGCCGGAGAGGCACAGAGAGGTTGCGGCGATCTTCGAGGGTGAGAGGAGTAGTGGGGACATTGAAAGGTTGCCAGATGCCGAGGTTGGTGGCTTGGTGTATGATAGAATTGCCAAGTTTTTGGCTGATTTGCGTGTACCCAGGGGTTTGGAGAAGGTGGGGTATGGGAAGCAACATGTGGAAGCTTTGGTAAAGGGTACCATTCCCCAGAGGAGGGTGTTGGATTTGGCTCCGGGCATCGGTGATGTCAAGGGTACGGACGGGCATGAGCATCTCAGTAGGATTCTGGAGAAGAGTCGTAAGTACAAAACAGCGCCAGCTTGCCAAGCGAGAAGATAGAGAACTGACATTGACCTTGTATTCCGTATGATGCGTGACGAACAGTGTCGTACTAAGTTCTTTCTCTCTCGCGAAAAGTCTCGAAGAAAGTCTCAATCGATGTCGGAGGCACTTGTGCCGTGGATTGCAATGAACACCGAATGGATGCTTCCAGCTGTCATTGTGCGAGGGGAGAGGATGTGAGAGCAAGAAATAGTATCTGCGGTAACGCTGGCCTATTGTTAACGAGAGCGGGGTTAGGTGAGTGGAGCCGCGCTTCTCCGCACAGAATGAGCAAGCGCTAAACGAGATCGACTGGCGCGTGAAATGACGACTTTCCGCTTGTTTCCTACCAAAAGCCTCTCTCTCCTCGCCCTTTCTTGCTTGCTCTCTCCTCACATTTTGTTTCCTTGTTATACCCCATCTTGCCATCTCCATTCGCACCTATTCCCTCCAAGTCCTCCCCGGCCGAAGTTCTGTGCAAGATGTCTCTCAGCAACAACCTCCCCTCCTTCCTCAAGGACCTAATCTCATCCTTCACCGGCGGCAAAGATCCATTGCACAACCTTACCGCTTTGTCCATCCCTGCCTCCCTTCTATTGGCAGCCTGGCCACACTGGTACACGATCTACCTGGCTCAGTCCAACCGCATCCAAGGAGGCTGGAGCAACATCAACCCGCGTGCATTCGTGGTTAAGCTTGCACAAAAACCCAAGCCTACCCCTCTCGAACTCTTAATCCTCCGAGGACAGGCTTGTCAAGCGAACTCGTTCGAAAACGTCCCTCTGTTTTTGGCAGCCCTCGTCTGGGCGAACTATACAAGGCTGGAGGTGGAGACGATTAATAGGTTTATTCTAGGCTACTTGGCAAGTAGGGTGCTATATACGGTTCTTTATTTGAAGACGTCTACCTATTGGAACAGTTTCGCGAGGACGGTCGTGTTCAACTTTGGTATCCTCTGGATCGTGAGTATTTGGTTGCAAGGTGGGTTGGCTTTGGCGCCTAGCCTCAAGTAGTTATGTTGCAGTAGGTCGAGAGAGATCAAAGAAAGAGGATGCGGGGGGCGGGACGGGGCGGGGCGGGGCGAGGCGAGAAGCTGGCGCCAGGTGTAGCAGGCAACCGTTAAACCCGACCCTTTTCATCCATCCCCATACTTTGCAGTGCTTGGATCGATCAGTAGGCGAAAGCACAACCCAACAAGTAGTACGAACAGAGATCAGCGACTCCAAGCCTCTGTTCTGTGGCAGTGTGTGCCATTTTCAGCGAGCGTATCAACAAAGCAGCATCGACAAACGCCGTGTGCAAGTCTTTCGCCTGTGCGATCCGAATGCCTGGTCCAGAATTCACGCCTTTCACTCGTCACCACAAACAGATCGTAGGCATACAAGGAGAGAGCATATCGAACAACAACTACAATTCCGTTTCCCTTCTAAGTGAATGCTGCTTCTAGAGCTTACTAGCGAACCTGGCCCGAAGCACGTTCTTCTGTACTTTGCCTGTACTAGTCTTAGGCAATCCATCTACGATATCGAACCATTCCGGCACGGCAAAACCTGACATCCTCTCCTTGCAATGTTTCTTCAGTTCCTCTACGAACGCCTTATTCTCCTTACTTGCACTTTTCTTTACCTCTTTTACCCAAGCGCCACCTCTGCCCGCCTTCACTTGTTCGGTGAAGACAACGAAAGCTTGGCCTCGTTCACCCCATTTCTCATGCGGTCTAGCAATGAGGCAACACTCCAGTACATCTCTGTGGGCTGCCAATTCTTGCTCTACCATGAGACTCGAGATGTTTTCTCCACCAGAAATGATAATATCCTTGCCACGATCCAAAATTTGAATCTCCCCTCCAGGATGTCGAACGGCGAGATCGCCAGTATGGAACCAACCTTTGAGTACAGCTTTGGATGTGGCCGAGGGATCGTTGTAGTATCCCATCATAGTCATGTTTCCTCTAGTGACGATCTCGCCTGTTTCTTTACCGTTTCTTTCCACATCGATTAGATCGCCATGCTTGCTGTTGCTCGAGTCGGTTCGGACAACCCGCACTTCGTCTGATGTGAGGTAAGAGTGTCCCTGTCTAGCCATCATTCGTGCCTGGGAATCAACGTCGAGTTTCGCCCATTCTGGTTCGAAATATCGTCGGGTAAAGGGACCATATGTTTCGGTCAAGCCATACACGTGCACGGGATGCAGGTTTAGACTTTCCATCTTCGCAAGGAGGTTAGCTGTGGGAGCGGATGCAGCGACGGCTACCTTGACCCGGCGAGGCAGTTTTTTTAGCAGAGGGATGATTGGTTAGGCCAATTTGAACTGTCGGTGCACCGCAGTAGTGCGTTACACCATGATCAATCAATGCATCCCAAATCACAGCGTTGTCTACCTTGCGAATCGTATGGTGAGTCGCCAAAGATGCCGTGACAGCCCAGGGAAAAGTCCATCCACAAGCATGAAACATGGGAAGAACCCAAAGATATCGCGAATCTTGCGTAATGTTGGCTTCGAACGCATTTGTTACTGCTGCGAGATAGGCGCCTCGATGGTTGGTTAGAACTCCTTTCGGACGACCGGTTGTGCCAGAAGTGTAGCAGAGTGCGATCGGTTGTTCTTCATCCTGTGGAGCGAAAAGCAGTTTCCAGCCGGTGCGGGGTTCTGCTCGGGGTTTGGGGGCCGAGGCGTATGCGGAAAGCTCTTTCTGTTCTGCTCGCTGCCATTCGAGATAGCCTCGGTCGAGGAAATTTTCGTAGGGATCATCGGATTCGGCTCCACCAGAGTCTTTGCTGATAACAACGGTGATGTTAGGGCCAGGATTCTCGGGGATCAGATGGGCGAATTCGTGATCGCAGAGAATGATAGTCGATCCAGAGTGCTCGAGGACATAAGCTACTTCTTTAGGAGTGTTTCGAATGTTGATCGGAGTGATAATTCCACCTGCGGCGGGGATGGCCCAGTGTGCATCGGCGATCAAGGGTGCGTTGGGGGAGATAACCGCTACTTGATCACCCGTTTTGAAGTTAGGAGTGGTGAGCAGGGCAAATGCGAGCGAGAGGCATCGTGCTGCCCATTGAGAATAGGTGAAGCTGTAGTTGCGTTCCGGGTGAGAAATGGCGAGTTTGTTCGGTGTGATTAAGGCTGCTCGGAGAAGGAAGGATACGGGAGTGAGGCAAGAGCGGTAATGGGGAGTGTTCGGGTGGGTAGAGAGGGAGAGTTCAAAGGGACGATCGGTGGGAGGTTGGGATGAACGTGGGGGTTGGTAGACCATCTTTGCGATTCGTTACCGACTGAGGATGGTGGCGGTGAGATGGCAAATGCTGGTGAAGGAAGAAAGGTTGGTGGATACATAGGATCTTAGAGCGGAGTGCGGGGAAGATGGAGAGCTCCGGCTAACTTATACTGTCATCGACAGGCGCTAGAGCTGGAGGCGAGAGAGAGGCAGTGGGGAAAAGTTGGGGGAAGATGGCCGCCAAAATTGTAGACCCGGTCAAGTGTTGCGGTAGCAGAAGGGTACAGGAACAAGTGCGGGGTAGAGCGATTTGCTACAGTATTCCGAGCGTTGATCTGGAAGTTAGCCTCATTCGTCATGCCTCGAACTCCTTCATTGCCCACTTACCGTCTTCTCGCTGTATCGCTTGTGGCCCCCCTGTCGCTCTCGGTGACCGATGTTTTTGTGGAGCTGCTCCTCGTGGTCATCATTTTTTCGGCTTGCTGCTTGTCAGCTTGGGCTTGTATGCGGCAACGCAAGGTTGAGGCATCTCAAGGCGCATTCAGAAGGCTGGTGTTATCGCCTCTCAGAGTTCAGGTAGGACAAGGTGGATGGCGGTTTGGCGCTTCACAGGCGCTCACAAGCCAATCCCAAGTTTCCCCGTCTGCGTTCGGCAGTCGCTCTCATTTTGACTCCGGTTAGCCGACTTTTCCTCGCGTTCTGTTAGACCTTCATTTCCCATGTGCTCCACTTCTTTTTGCCCGGTTGAGAACAAAGGCAGTTCCTTTCATCCAAACCAACATGGCATGCAGGAAGCCCCTAGTCACAACCTCATAGGATTAAATGCAACTGATGCCAAAAAGATCCAACAGAGAATGTCGATGCTTGTGTTCTGGTGTGGAGAGAGGATGGAAAAAGTCTCAAAAATGTGATAGACTAGGTGGGGTTCGAACCCACGAACCCGAAGGACGAGGAATAGAGGTATACACACATACTGCGTGTGTCTCGGCGTCCGAAGCTTGTTGACTCGCGCCAAAATTTATGAAATCTTCTTAAATCTCGCGCGTTTGACCACTCCGCTACTAGTCTCAGTTTGTTCTAAAGTTGGGGATATTGCAATAATATACTAAGACCAATATTTTGCGTCGCTCACACATTGTTTTGACCAAACCTCAGGAGAAAGACGAGGCTCGCTCAATGAACACCACATCGCACAGTTAGCTGTGATCCTTGAGCAATGCAATGTATTCTGTTGAGTCAATGTAAGAGTGAAAGTCCATGTGTATGTGTATGCGACGGAGCAATGGTGCGATGCGAACAATGAAAGCGAGGCAAAGTAGGTATCAAAGATGCGCAGCGAGAGAGAGAGGGACAGATGGAAGATGCAATGATGCTGGAAACAGGGAAAATTGGAAGACGAAGATCAGATACGACGAGGAAACTGATCAGTCAGCTCATACGACTCGCCTAAGCCAGCAGGTCGACGTTGAACGGGATACGGTGGTGCCGGACCAGCCGACGAAGCGGGCAAGCCAGGGTTCCTCAGTCGACCATGTTCCAGCGCATTCGCTGGCGACAAGGGTCGCGAAGGAGGAGCTGTCCCCGGTGCAGTGCCATGTTCCCCTCCGACCTCGTCGAACACGTCGTGTCCACCGAATGCAGCGCCAGTGTCCATGAACTTGTAGGCACGCTCACCAGCTCCCAACGTGTTCTGCACTCCTACCTCAGCAGGGGTAGCTGTAGCTGACGAGTCAGGAGGTGGGTAAGGAACCATAGTGACGTGGCTCAAAGCAGCAACATTAGGATCACCTTTGGGACCGTAGATCTTGCATTCGGCCAAGAACACCTTGAGCTGGCACAACCATCGGTTTCGTCGCTGTGCCTTCAAGCCACCTTGCTGCCAGTTGGACTTGTATCGGATGCCAGCCGACAGAAGCAGGCTACCCTGATCCTGGAAGTCAATCACATTGATGTCGAGACCAGGCAAGAAGTCACGCTTCTCTCCCTCAAGCCAGTGGACCATCTTGGTTCGCAATGCTTCGATCTGCGCAAACGACGTGTTGTAGGCCACTTCGAACTTGAACGTCTCCTCGATGGCTCCCGATCGACGCAGGTTGACAATGGGCTTAGTAGCCAGCTGGTTGTGGCTGACCATGACGTTCTTGCCATTGGTGGTCTTGAAGACGGTGGTGAGCAGTCGCATCTCCTTGACAATGTACTGGTCGTCACCGATGTCAACACGGTCACCGACATCGTAAGGATGCTTGATGAAGAGGAAGATGATGGCGCCCAGCGTCTCCTGTGCCGTGGTACCGATGAGCCAAGAGAGACCGAGGATGAGCGTACCAAAGGAAGTGACGAGCGTGCTGAAAGCAACAGACAACATGGCTGCAATGATGATGGCGGCGATAAGAATGAAAACGCTCATGAAGATCGAGTCAAGTCGTCCAACAGCCGAGTCGACATCGCGCATTGAGAGCTGCAATGCCAGTCGCTCGCGGTGGATGTCGATGCAAACAGTCTCTAGTTCTTCTTTGGTGACATCGCCGTTGAGGTCACGGTCAAAGATCTCGAAAGCAACCTCAGCAGTGATAGCGTCGGGGAAGCAGTGAATGATGTCGTCGACGACCATCTCGGACTTGCCGGGAGGGCAGAAGCTGTACCAAATTCTTCTTGCCAGCGCCTGGGTCTGCTTGCGAGAGTTGAGTGACGATACGACGACAGAGCGAGGGTTTCCAAGCTGAGGCACACCTTGGCCTGCGATCTCGCTGGCGACAGTGCCAAGGACACTGGTGCTCTGCAGTGCCACATCTCGCACCTTCTGACCCGTTTTGCGCAGACGAGCGCGAGTCACATGAAGGCCAGTCGACTTGCGCTTGGCCTCGTGCTCTGCAGCCATGTAGGTATCCTTGCGATTGTGGTTCTTGGAGTTCTCATAGAGCGTGGTGAGCACCTTGATGTTGAACTTGGATGTCTGAATGCGGTCTTCGTACGAGACGCGGTGGAAGTTGTACGCAATGCCCTGAATGAAGAGCTTCTCACCTAGCAGAATGGCAGCGCTCAAGCAGACACCGAACCAGAGACGGTATCCGGAGAGCATGATGTCGCTGGTAGTTGGCCAAGAGTTCTCGCTCTTCTGCGCCACAACTGTGGTGCTTCCAGAGGAGGAAGAGTCGGCGAAGGAGGTGGAGTTGGTAGGTGTCAAAGAGGCCTGCTCGATAGCAGCCTTGTCGGCGCCCTGGAAGTTGCCGATGACGATTGCAAGCCAGAGCGCAAAGAGGAGTATGGTCCATAGGAAGAAGGCGACGTACTTTTCGGTGACGATGAGGAACTCGGTATAGCGGCGCATCTTTTGGTGGATGTTGCCGACAGTCCATCGAAGAATGCGTGGGATCATGATGGCACCAACACGGCAGACCCACCAGCCTACCCAAATGGAGCTCAGCCAGACTGACCACCAAAAGATGCCGACATCAAGCACGGTGGGGTTCTTGAACTGATTCGCTGGTCTGGCATTATAGACGAGCAGAGCGAGAATACCGGGGATCCAGAAGAGAGCAGTTGGGACAAGAATGTAGAGGAAGAGGCGAACAGAGGGATGGCCGAGCTTGGGACCTTCAGCATGGCGTCCATTGAGACCGACAAAGCTGGCGTTGGCACTGTCATTCGAGTAGCCGGCACCTTTCAAGAGACGCTCCCACGAGTCACTGTCTTGGCGCTTGAAGCCAGGTCGCTTGACATTGGGAGCAGAGTTGTTCTTGCCCATGGCTTCGTGAAGGCGCTTTGACACGTCGGTGGACTGCGAGTACTCCTGACGGTGTCGAGGTGGAGTGGTCTGCACTGGTGGATAGGTGTTGGAAAGATCAGGACCGCCGTCGTTGGCCCATTGACCTGAACCGCCATAGTTGGCTGGGTAGTTGTCGTACTCCTTTTCAGATGGATAGTCGCCGACATGGTCGTAGTACGTGGATGAGCTGACACCGTGGCCAGCCAGCGGTGCATCGTAGGTGCGAACAGGGCCATGAAGAGTGGCGTTGTCGTCCGAGCCTTTACCTGGTGAATGGCAGGTTGCACCACTTCCGCCGGGCACACGGGTCCACGGCGCCGACATGGTTTGCAAAGATGGGATCAATCGAAGAGAAGGGGATTTTGAAGCGTTGTGGATTGCAAAGGTGATGGAGAGGTGGAGAAGTGGTGGCAGAGGCGATGGTGTTGGATAAAAGGAAAGTGAGATGGCCTCGCCAAGGCTTCCAACAAAGGAGTGACTGAGCTTCTTGTTGTCCGTGTGAGCGTTGTTCTTTATTTATTTATTTATTTATCTATTTCTTTCTTTCTTTCTCGCTGGCGTTAAAGTTGAGTGGGATGGCCTTCCTCCTGCCAAAAGAGGAAAAAGGTTTCAGACTCGAGCTTGCGTGTTCGTGTGTTGTTCTTTAAAAAAGCAACGACAGCTCGTGTGGAGGGGTACAGCGCAACGGTGGTTTTTTTCTTTTTTTTTCTTTTTTTTCTTTTTTTTTCTTTTTTTTCTTTTTTTTTCTTTTTTTTCTTTTCTTTTTTCTTTTTTTTCTTTTTTTTTTCTTTTTTTTTCTTTTTTTTCTTTTTTCTTTTTTTTTACCCCTCTGCCCAGCTAGCAAGATAGTGGAGAACGGCCAAAGGTGAGAAAAGCGTTGAGTTGGACCCCGGAAAATGGTGAATCTGCGAAAAGACGTCGTTGCGCTGGAAGCCGTAACCGAGGCTCGCACTTCTAAACCGAATCGATCCCTCTCATGCGATTTTTCTAAAAATTCGTCCATCTCGGTCCTCTGTGGTGGTGCTTGTGACCATCTGTGACAGCGATCGAAGACCTTCTCCTAGGCCCAAGTGAGACAAAATAGAATTCGGCTGTCCCGAATGCGTGGGAAAGGGCCCCTCTCATAGCAAAGTGAGCCAACCTGAACCTGACTCGATTCGATGGCACAACTCGAACGGAAAGTGAGAAACAGAAATGGGTCTGTGCGCTAAAGAGGAAGCTGTGATTTCAGAGAGAGAGGGAGCAACTCAAGTTGTGGATGGGCAGGTGATGTCAGAATTTGACCTGGCGGTGTGGCGTCGAGCACGCGAGTCCTGTTTTCACACTTGGCTGTCAGTACCCTCGAATTCGGCAGCGCCTTCAGATCTCGCATTCCCAGTGCAAAATGCAAAAGCAGAAGCTCTATTTGGCCCAAGTGTGTCTGACGCCGCCCAGCTAAGACTCGGTTTCAGCTCTGGGCAAAAAGAGAAAAGATGTGAGATTCTGCGAATTTTCTGCCAGCATTCCCGATTTGCTTCGGCTTGGTGTGCCGTTGCGCTGTCACATTTCGTTTTCATCGTCTTTGACCATCATCATTGCGATCATCCTCGATTGCACTCGGTTCGAAACCATACCATCATCGCTGGTCCCGTCGACTCACGCTCCGTTCCTCAACGGCTCTCTTGATCATCACGTTCAAACCCTTGGCCCTCTGATCGCGCTCACATTCATTTCACCGCAGCGAGCAAAAGAAGCTCGGTCGGCACCTCCGCTTTTCATCGGCTCTTCCATCTCAGCCCAATCACGCACGTTCAACTTCTTCCCACGCTTCTCAGATTACACGCCCTGCAAGCCACATCATCTAGGTTCATCCCCGAGTTCATTCCGACAAGCTCACACGCAACGATGCCCTTGCTCGATTCAGCTCGTGACTGGATCGACTCGGCAATCGCTGCCCCTTCAGAAGTGCACGAGAATGCATCTCAAACCCTCGTCTCGCTGGCATGGACGTTGCTCATCATCCCAAGCATCTTTGTCGTGATCGCATTCGCCTGGATCATGTACACATTCAGTCAGCCATCGGATCTATCGCAATCCAACGGCTTCAGTCACGCTGGCGCTGACGACGAGGATGACGGTCAGGGCCAAGACGAGCAAGAGAAGTTGTTAGACGCTTTCAACGAATCACAATCGCACTCTGCTACAAACGTAACCAGCTCAGCATCAGGCTCATCATGGAAGATCAATAATAAGTACAGTACAACGTCGAGGGGCGGCTCTGTCTACACTTCTTATCCGGATCCAAACGGCACACATACGCATT